AGTGCCCACTTTCCTGCTCCTCCTTCCCTGCCTGCCCTCCGCCTAGCCTGTGCTCACAAGCACATTGTAGAGTGCACACAAATGCGGTGGTGAGGGCTGCACCTGGCATTGTGACGCAGAACCCCAGGGAAGTGTCCTGGGCTGAGAGCCTTACTCTGCCAGCTAGGAGGTGGGGCCCTTGGGAAGCAGAGGGAAGCCCCTGCTCTACTCCTATTGATGGGTGGCTATCTAACTTCCAGTCTGATGCTCGTTGATGGTCCAAACTCCCTGCTAATGGAATCAGATGCTAGCTGAGCTCTCCAGCACTGTCAGGATCTAGCCTGTTGCTGATGAAGGGAGGCAATGTGAGGTACCTGGCCCAGCGTCACAGTCAATTCACATCAGGGAGGCTGGGAGGCAGGAAAGCCCAGTTCTCCCTCTGCATCTGGTTCACGAATTTTCCAGGAACTTGACTCTCTTTATGTCCCAAGAAATAATACCTTATTGTCCTTAAGGACCAGCTATGCCAAAGGCCACATGCCTCACAGCCAGGGAATACTCAGCAAAGTTCTGCAGCCCTCAGACTGGGCTTCCTCTTTTTTTTTTCCAAGAGTCCCCTGCCTTGCAACTATCCCCAACCTCAGGCGGGCACTTGCATGGTGTGGTTAAAATGGCATTTGCTGGGGCTGGGGATGTGGCTTAAGCAGTAGCGTGCTTGTCTGGCATGCTCGGGGCGCTAGGTTTGATCCTTAGCACCACATGGAAATAAAATGAAGCTGTTGTGTCCACCGAAAACTAAAAAATAAATATATAAAAAAATGGCATTTGCTCAAGTCAGATATTACTGGGTTCCAGTTAGTCCTTGTTCTACCACTCACAGGCTTATGTGACCTGAGACAGTGACTTCATCTATGTCTCGATTTTAAATGGAAAACTGAGAGCTTCTGCCTTCATAGGGTTCTTGTAAAGGTGAGACAGAGCGGTTCTGGGGAGCACAAGACCAGCATGGCAGCTGCTGGGAGGCTCCTTTCAGCTCCTGCGGCTCCTGCTCTGCCCTGCCTGGGTCAGTCTCCACCCTGCCACTCCATGGCCCCTGGGATCCTCTGTGTTCAGCACCGGGGGGGAGGAGGCACTCAGGGAATGTCTGAGGAAAGAATGAGTGAATTAGTGGTGAATTAGTGACTATTCTGTGGGATTGTCTGACCCCACCCTCTGCTCACCTGTCAGAAGAGGCTTCCCTAGTTCAGGAATCTGGACCCTCTCAGGCCAGGGTCCCTTCAAAACCAATTCCATGGCTGGGCAGGACACGGTGTTGTGGGGCACCTGGAGTCTTCCCTGAGGATGCCAGTTATGGGGGAAGGGAGAGAAAGTGGGAGTATGGGAGGGGTGGGACACTAGCCAGTTTCTGAGGCGACATTGACTCACCTACACTCCTTGGAGGACTGCTCAATCATTACCTTGTGCCAGCTCTGCCCCCCCCCCACTCAGCCGCACCTCTTGGTGCCTGACTTGCCACCCTCCTGTGGAAGGTCAAAGGAGCTGGCAAACCAGTGTTCCCGTCATCACTGAAAACTCCCACCATCCTGTGGAAAGGAGGACAGAGGTGGTCATACCCCATCCTAGAGAGGTGACAGACTTGTCCATACTGGCCAATTAAAAGCTAGGTATCCTGACTCCTAGCTTGGCCCTATCCAGCTACAGGGAGCCATATGGCAGTGCCTGGTGTGACCCTCCCTGCTCAGGCCACTGCATTTTTACCCCAAAGTTCCCCTTTTCTGGAAGTTATCTGCATTGTTCTCCTTGGCCCTAAAGACGCCCACTACCACCTGTGGCTGATTGCTGGCCCAAGACTGAAATTCTTGAAGGCAGGTGTGGCTGTTCCTTGTCCTTTCTCTGTCTTTTTAGGACTTAGCACTGGAACAATATCCCATAGCACAGATRGGACTTTTCTCCTTCTGAGGATGCTCATTTGGAAGTTGGGGATGATGTCTCCTCCAACTTCCACTCTTATCCTCAGCCTTGCTCCCAGGCTGTTGGAGCTGGAAGGGCCCTAACAAGGTTCTATTTGAGAATCACTGGGGAGCAGGAGCTTTCCTGAGCCCCCAGCTGGAAATCAGAGGACAGTCACCTGTTCCACTCTGTCCCACAGAAACCCTGCAGGGGCCACTCCTGCCCCACTTTCCTTCTTCTACCCCAAATCTCAGCAGCCCACCCCCATTGTCGACTTGGCAGAGTGAGGCACAGCCTTTGCTCCAGCCCCCACCCCACCCCAACTGGCAGCTCCTAGCCTGCTGCCTTTGCCCAGACATGGCAGAGGGGCACTGGCGGCTTGGAGATGGAGTTGATTTTCCCTTTGGCAGTGTGGGAGAGGGGGAGGGGAGAGGCTTAGCCCCCACTGGGTGAGGGGAGAGGGCAGGTCGGCAAGTCTGGACAAGAGGCAGAGGGAAAACATGACTTTCCCAGTTTGTGGGTCACTATGTTAAGAATCAAAGGCAAATCGGGGGGCCCTGAGGGCTGCCTGGAAAGCAGATTAACTTGCCCCCACTAGGCTCCCAGCTGCTGCCCTCAGTTCCTGCAAATCCATGCCTTGGAGACTTGTAAGGTGGACATTTCCTATGGCAGGGCGGGGCAGCATCGTGGATGTCCCCCACTCTACTGTGAGTCCTTCTTCTTCCTCACCAATGTCTCCCCATCTTGCTCCTTCAGCTCCGGCCTCCTCCCCCTTTTCTCACTCCCACTGTTTGCCTCTTTGTGCATCCTCTTCCCTTTTCGGTCCCTTCTCATTTCTCCCTCCTCTTCCTTCAGCCCCCCCTTTCCCCAGCCCCTGTTCCTTCTCTCTCCCAGCCCCCTCCTCTTCTCTGCATCGGGGCTGCTTTCCCCCTGACTCAGCAAGGTGCTTTATAAGGTGCTGAGGGGGCTCAGCCAAATCCAAACCACATTGTCTGCACAGCCTCTCCACCAGGGGCAAGCTGTGGAGTTGCTCAGCGGAGGGGAGCGGGCCCAAGCTGCTCCTGGTCACCCTCGCCCTCTCCCCTTTCCTACTTAGCTCCCTCTCTCGGAAGGGGTAGCTGCTAGGGGGACCTCCCTGCAGCCTGGGAACCAGTTACCGGTGGGCATATGCCTTCTTGACCTTGGGCATGGGCATCAAAAGATTTGTTGGGCTCCTAGGCCAAGAATGTCATTGAAACTCCAGAGTCCCGGCTGCTGGGGGTGGGGAGAAGGTGGGGGAGGAGGCCTTGAGCACTTTCACAAGGGCCCCTCCAAGGCGCTTTTCATCAGAGCTGCTACCAATGCTCCAGAAAGTCCCCTACCCCCACCCCAGGCCAGCTCTCTATTCTCAGCTCTTTTTCTCCTTGTTTAGGAAAAAAAAAAAAAAAAAAAAAAAAAGAGGAAGAGAGAATGAAAGAAAGGAGAGAAAGAAAGAGAGAGAGAGGGGAAAAAAAAGAGAACAACCCAACAACAAAGTCTGTCCCACTCCAGTGAGGTAATTGAAAACAAACTTCTTCCCCACCCCCCCACCCCCCCACCCAGTTCTCCAGTACAGAAAAGACAAGAGCTGTCCTGGGAACTGGCCATGACCATGATGCCTACTCTGACCCACAGGCTGGAGGGGCTGTGGTGGACTGGCAGAGTACCCTCTTAGGGGCATAGGCAGGAGTAGGGGATGAAGGTATGGTGCCACTCCAGAGGGAGCATTACCTTCCAGGTCTGCTGCCATCCGCCTCTCCCCCTTTGAAACAACAGGTACAACAAAGCAACTTATTACCAAATGATTTAATTGGTGGTATGCTGCTTCCAGGACACCCAAGGCTTGAGGACCCAATGACTGTCCCCCAAGACAAATCACAAAGTGGGGCTGTGTACAAGCCCCAGATGACAGCTGTTTCCTCTGCACAAGGTCACTCTTCCTGGCAACAGTTTGGAGAGGGAGGAAGGGGGAGGAAGAGAGACCCTCTTGGGAGGGTTTGGTCTTATGGGTCCCCGAGGTCTCCAGCCCAGCAAAGTCCCAACCCAGACCGGAGGGGAGGAAGGAGGGAGAGCACTCCACAGCCAAACCTACCTCACCACCGGAAAAACCAACAGCCCAAAACCCCAAAGGAAGGAGGGTGCCAAATGTCTCAATGGGGAAGTGTTTTACAATCGGGATGCTCGCTCTGTCCGTGGCCTTGAATCTTCGCATTCTCGCTGAGTCACCAGCGAAGCCTCTGGTGTTGAAACTGGTCCGGTGCCTCGTGCTGATTAATGAATTACAAATCCCCCACCCATGTGCCCTCTCCCTGGTCACTGGGAAGAAGAATGAAGAACCTTGTGAACTAAAAAGAGAAGCTGGGCAGTGGGCCCTCGTGCCCCCTTCCTCCCCCTCAGGGGGCATTGTGAGCTGGTTAGTCACCTGCCCCAGCCTCTGGCGCCTCACAGAGCTCCAGCTTTTGGAAATGGGACAAGCAGCGGGACAATAGGCAAGGGGGGCGGTCAGCCCAGACAAAGGGCAGCAGGAAAAACACCATCACTTGCTTTGAGGCCAGTTCGCTGGCATTTGGGAGAATGTGTCATTGCATTTACTCAAGGGGAAGGGGGAGGGAAGGTTAGAGATGAGGAGGCAGAGGTAGGGTGGGCGCAGGGAACCCAAACAGGGCAGGAGGCAGGGGGCAGGCGTCCCCAGGCGGAGTCCGAGGGAGAAGCCCACATCGAGGCAGGCTCCCGCCCCTGGTTCTCGGTGTCTGCAGACGGACCGATGCCCTCCCAGCCCCCTCCCCCAGGAGGCCCAGGGTGGTACCGCCGCAGCCTCGCCTCACCTCACCCCCCCTCAGTGTTGTGGGAGGGAGAGGAGCCCCAGAAGCCCTCCCTTCCCTCCTCCCCCGCCTCCCCCCACCCCGGGGAGGGCTGCTACAATTTGTGGTTACAGCTTTACACGTCAGAAAAAAAAAAAAAAGTTTGCAGAATGTCCCACACCGAAAAAAAAAAAAAATCCGAAACCGAGCGAAAAAAACCTGCGAGTGGGCCTGGCGGATGGGATTATTAAAGCTTCGCCGGAGCCGCGGCTCGCCCTCCCACTCCGCCAGCCTCTGGGAGAGGAGCCGCGCCCGGCCGGCCCGGCCCCCAGCCCCATGGACCTCCGAGCAGGTAGGAGCCAGGCGTCCGAGGCCCCGGCCCCCGCCCCCGCCCCGCCGCCGCGAGATCCGGTTCCCGTCCTCCTCCCGCCCCCGGGGAGCCCCACGCCGGGGCCCGGCCGGGGAGCAGGGCTCGGGCCGGGGGAGGCACGGCTGGGCGCCCTCGAGAGGGGCCGGGCGGGGACGCGGCATTCCTGGAGTCCGGTCGGCCGGGCAGGAGGTGGCGGGGAGCGCGACGGGGAGCCCGGACGACCCGCCGACCTGGGGAGGCGGTAACCTGGAGCCCCAGAGAGGCGGGGTCCCACGGAACCGCGGACAGAGAGCCCCGCGCAAAAGTCGGGGCGAGCGAGTCCGAGGCGAGCAGCGAGGCTGCGGGGGGAGACGCGGCGCGAGGGGAGGGGGCCGGGGAGAGGAAGAGGGAGGGCGAGGCAGGGGAGCTCGAGGCCGGGCCGGCGGGAGGCGAGGGGAGGCCGACACCTCGGGCCGGGCCGCTCTCCCTCCCCGGACCGCCGGGAGGGGAAGGCGGGCGGGAGGGAAGGCGGGCGGGCGAGAGGAGCGGAGGGCGGAGGGCAGAGCCAGCCTGGCTGGGCCGGGCCGAGCGGGCCGGGCCGCGGGATTCGCGGCTTCCTTGCTGCGCGCTGCGCGGCCGCAGCCCTCCACGCTGCCCACGGCCCCGGAGCCGGCGGCAGGTAGGGGCCAGGCGGCTGGTTGGCCGGCGGCAGCGAGCCTCGGCCCGCCGGCCTGGGAGTGATTACTGCGGGGGGGGGGGGGCGCAGCCCGGCTGGACCCAGCAGGAAAAAGTCCGTCACCGGTCCGGCAGCCGCGAGCTCTGTCGGCAGCGGCCGCTCGCCCAGCGGCCGGCGGAAGGAGAGCGGGCAGGGCAGGGAGTTGACGCGCGGGAAAGGGCAGCGGCCGGGGCCGAGCCCCGGAGCCGGGCGCCCGGGACCCCGCCCCCGCCCCCGCCGCCGGGTGGAGAGCCACCGGGCGGGAGCGGGCAGGGGGCGGGGCCGGGGGCGCCGGGGCCACACAAGGGGAAGGCACCACAGCCTCCGGGAGGGGTCCGGGAAGGAGAGGTCACCCCCGAGGAGGGAGGGCCAGCGAGCGGCCACCGCCGCACAGTTCCCTGGCCCTGCCCCTCGAAGCAAATCGTAGGTTTGCATGGCCTTGCCAGAGTCCCCTCATTTCTACCCTCCTGCATTCTTTTCCAGCAGCTCCATACTGAGCTCCAGGAGTCCTCCCTACAGAACTCCAATCCCAGAGGACCTCCTGTGTCCTGTTCAGGGCCCAGGATTGGGAAGGGGCTGTCAGTAGAGGAAGGGGAGACACGCGGTGGGGGCATGGCAGGGGAAGTCTGAGCCTTAGAGAGAGGCTGAGGGTGAGGGCAGGGGACACCTCTCCCTGGGACTCTGATCCAGGGACATCTCTGGGCTTTAAATGCCCCTCCGATGGGACACAGGTTCATATTCTAACAGACTAGATACACTGGCTGACCTGGAGCCACACATTCAGCCAGGGGAGGAAACTGGCAAGAGATGGCAGCAACTGTCACTGGGCAGTCCAGAAATCTCTACTAACTGGAGCAATATCTCCTCCCCTCCACCACAGACCTGCACTCCTGTCCCATTCACACTGGTGTACACTACCCCTACACTACCAGCTACTGATTCCTGACACTTCACATTCCTGCCCACAATCCCACCTGCTGGTTCACACCCTGGCTCCTGCTGCTCTCTGGCCCCTCCCAAACCCTCCTGCACCCTCTTGATAACAACACCCTTTCCAGCTCACCCACACACTTGCCCTGGACTATTTACTTCACTTCTTCCCCCTCTGGTTTCAGCTGGCTTCTCAGCCCCCCCCCCCCCCCCACACACACACACTTCACTCTGACTCTCCCTGAGTACACCCAGGGCCCTCTTGTGGCAGTCAGGTACCCTCTCCCTCCAACCAAAGCCCAGTTCCTGTCTTGGTGCCTTACTTCAAAAGGCAGCAGCCTGCCCGCCCTATTTCTTTCCCTGGACCTTGGCTTTTTCTGTCATTTGGACTGGAAGAGAAGGACACGAGGGGATGTTGGAGAGGACAGCAGAGATGGAGCCCCATGTTCCAGCTGGGAGGACCTTTAGCATGCATGGTGCCACATCCTTGTGCAAGCCTATGGTCACCAGATGGGTTCATGGCAAAGCTAGGTCTCCTGAGTTCCAGACCCCTGTGTCCTCACTCTCCCTGCCACTTCTCAGCGGCCCAGGAGAAAGGGAACTAGGGAGAGGGCAGCCAGCTCAGAAGACGGAGAAAGCTAGGTTTCTGTGGRCTTTGCCCTGTGCAGGCAGGTCAGGAGGCAGCCTCCAGGGCAGTTTCCTAGTCCTGTGCATGGATCTCACGCCACTGTGTACACACTACCTCCTAGGCTACTCTACCCCTTCCCCCCTCCCCAAGGTCACTCAGGGCCTTTCCTCATGTAGAGTTCTGGAACTCTCCAAAGCCTCCCAACATCAACGTTTAGAGCTTACAGCTCTTATTCACCAATTCCCGGTGCAGTCTCCACCCAACCACCCTGGACATCCCTGCCACTAAGTACTGTTAGCCTGGGGCATAGGCCAGGGAGCAAGGGACAGCTGGCTGAAGACAAGTACACTGTGGTGTGCCTGTGCAGTGTGTCGGGATGGCCCTGCGCTTGCATGGGCTGACAGTGTGTGTGTTCATGAGGGGGGGCCTCGTTCCCAGGGCCCAGGGATCTGGATGGAATTAGGGGCTGGCCCCGGAGGGGGCCAGGATGGGGGGGCTGCAGCAGGAAACGTGAGCTGCACTCATTAGCTCCTCACGTGCTCAGCCGGATTTATAAACACAAGGAGAAGACGGGATGTAAACAATCAGTGGGCAGCAGCCAGAGGCAGAGCAGAGGCCGGCAGTGGGGGTAGGACTGGGGGAGGGGGCCAAGATATGGCCCCATGGTGGGGTTCACCTGTACACTCTGAGCCAGAGAGGAGGGTAGGTGGGGGCTCCAGAGACTCATTGGGTGCTGCCACCCAGAAACACAGGGGAGCCGGAGCTGCTCTGGGCTCCAGTATTCACAACGAACTCAGGTATTCTCTGCGTCAGGCAACTTTCTGCTTTGCTGCCTGAGATATGGGCACATCTTGCCCAGTGTGCAAGGTGTCACAGTAGGAGGCAGAACTCTGAACTTCACCTGCCTTTCTCCTCTCCAGGCCTCCTGATTCCTGAGACTCCTTCCTTCTTTTCTACTTCTCTCTGGCCTGGTCAGTCAGCTCCTTCTGTTCTCCCCTGTCCCCCCAGCCCCCAGCCTGCAGTGACAGAGTTACCTCAGAACTGAAATATTCCTGGAAACACCGGCCCTGTCTGTTTAATTTCATGAGCCGTTTTTCTGCCCAGATGACTTAGCTCTTGTTTATCCAAAGGCTTTTCCCCCTGCTGTCCTTGTATAGGGAGCTGGTCCCCCCAGGGATGTCCCCCAAGGCCCAAGAAGGGAGGAAGAAACAGGCCCAGGGCTTCTGACCACACTTCTCTGCCACCGGGACAGCCCAGTCCCAGAACTCTGGCCGTTGAGGCAATTCCTGCGTCAGTGGAACTTTGGCATTGCCACTAACTTCAAGCAAGGCCAGATTTGTCATCCTGAAAGCTATCTCAAGACGGAAGGGCCACTGTCCCTCTCAGCAGGTCTTCAATCTCCAAAATCTCCAAAACTAACCCATAGGGTTCTGGAAGGGACTCAGCCAGAGATCTGGGCTGAGGACTGCCCAGGGCTTTGTGCATAGAAGGGCCTGGAGTCTTCTTGAGATATGAAGATGAAAGACTAGGAAGGAATCAGGCCAGACAAGAGCTAAATGGAAAGAAGGACTGAGGAAGGTGCATTCAAGCTACAGGTAGGAGAGGAAAGTGGAGTTGGTGCCCCACCCTGCTCTCTGTCCTAAAATACAGTGGGCACATGCACAGGTACCCTCACACCAGGAGTCCTTCACTCAAAAGAGCAGTCCCTGTGGATAGGAGGCACCCCTGCTCCGACCACCCATCAGTAAAGCCAGCCATTCAAGCATATGATAGTCCATACTGACTGGCTGGGCCACTGCAAAAGTCCCCACCTGTCCCCTGTACTCTCTGAGACACTTTATAACATCCTTGATAGTAACCCCCTCTAAGGGCTAAAAGACCCAGTTATTATGACTAACTAATGTCTAAACCTAATCTAGTCTTCATTCTTTCCTAACTCCAAACCCTATCCTGACTGCAGTCAAATTGTTAAACCTATCCAACTTATTTCTATCAAAGAAACATGTCATTATAGAAAAAATTGGAAGTATAAAATATAAACTAGAGAAAAGAAACAACTTGACCTCATACCTATCCAAGCTTAAAACCCAAACGAGACCTACCCTTTGTGACATGCCAAGTGTTGCCCCATCTGACATCTAAATCAACAAATTCATAAACCTTAGCCCCAGCTAACCGTCTGCCTGCCCAAACCTAACCACATCCCACTGCTGGACTCAAACCTCAACCACACTCAATCAACCAAATCCCAAGTCTAAACTAATCTGAAGCATTAAAAGTAACCTAGTCTTTAAACCTACTCCAGCCCAAACCAATTATATCCACCACCACCCCCATCCTAGCTCAGATGCACACTGAGTCCTGAGCTTGGACCTCACCTAAGAGCCTGGAAAATCAAGTTTTCCCCAAAGCCACCAGCCCTCTTCACAGTACAGACCCCAGGCCTCTGGACTGGCATTCTAAACTTCTAGCATCTTTAGCTGACAACCCCACTCATCAAATACATACCTCTCCCCTTTGTGTTCCACCTCCAACACCCTAGACAAGAATGGGCAGACCCCCCACACTGCCACTCGTCCTAAAGGGGATGGATGCTAAATCTCCCTCAATTTAACTTCATCCTAGCACCCACCACCCAGGAACCATATCCTAATACACCCACCACTGACTGCATTAAGTCAGCCTTGTGTCCTTCAGCCTGACCATGGTGGTGTCACCCTACCTCTACCTACTCACTCTTCTAGCAGGCCTGGCTGACGATGGCTTGCAGTGCTGACATGTGCCATTTGCCACTCCTCAGTTCCCTTCAAGCTGCAAGGGGACCAGGGGACTTGGAGAGGAGGATAAGGTGCAACTGGAACCCTAGCACACTGGCCTGGAGTCCCTAAGCTTGGTCCAGCCCACGACGCACATACACACACGTTGGCATGCACACGGTCACACACTGCCTAAGACTTCCTCGGCTGATACAGATATACTCTCAAGTATCTACTGATAGACGTACAAATGCCATGTACTTGTCCTCACATACACCTCCCTTGCCCATCCTTCATCCCATCTGGTGTCTCACCTTCACCCCTGCTCCCAGCCTAGGGTGGGGATAGACACCTGAGGGACTGCCAGCTGCCTCCACACTTGGGCTTGGCCCACCCTCATGCTTCTTGCCTATCCTGTCCACAGGGGACTCGTGGGGGATGTTAGCTTGCCTGTGCACGGTGCTCTGGCACCTCCCTGCAGTGCCAGCTCTCAATCGCACAGGAGACCCAGGGCCCGGCCCCTCCATCCAGAAAACTTATGACCTCACCCGCTATCTGGAGCACCAACTCCGCAGCTTGGCTGGGACCTACGTGAGTATCCAGCTTAGGAGTCTGGGCATTGGGCAAAGAGTGAGCAGAGGAGTTGGGGGAAGAGAGCTGATAGTGGCGGGGTCCTGTTGAGTGACTGGGTGATGAGGAGGGGCCCTTTGGCTCTAAGCAGTCTCCCTAAGTTGGCCTATCTCCTGCCCTTCCCTCTTAGGTGCCCCCCCTCCCCATCCCTGGCCCCAGGACTAGGCATGTGGGCAGGCCTTGCACCCGCCTTGGCCCATTGCCCCACTGGCTGCCAGCCCAGCCGCCCGCCTTCCCCTGGGGGCCGGGGAAGTCTCCTCTGTTTACACCGTGTTGTGGTGTCTCTTGCACGGGCGGGGCTGGGTGGGGATGGAGGGGCCCCACCTCCCAGGCCTGTGTTTAAACTCTCTTCTGCCCCCAGACCTGGGGCCCTGCTGCTCTGGACCCATGGGCCTCCCTCTGTCTGCCTCTCCCATCCTAGCCAGGCCTCCTAGGGGGAATCATGGGAGAAAGGGGTTGCAGAGAACCCAGGCCAGTAATGGCAGGGGGTTCAGGGTGTGGAGGGCAATTATGCTGTAAGGACTTTGGGGTGGTCCAGAGGTGTTCAGAGAGCCCAGGAGAGAAGGAAGGAGAATTGGAGGAGCCGGGGACCATGGGGAACCAGCCCCCTCTTCCCGTGTTCCTCTTCCACATCCCAGACCCTACTCTGGAGCCAGGGAAGGAAAAGGGAGGAGGGTGGCGGGGGAGCTGGCTCCAGCCCCAGGATACACCGAGGAAATTAGTTTGTCTCTGTGCTTGTCAGCGTGTGAACCTCCCCCTGGGCCCTTGCCTATCCCAGGCCTCGCCCCTCTTCTCTCTTTCCCTCCCAGTTACATATCTCCTGCATCCCCTTCCCTGGGCCCCAGGCCATTCCCCAGAGGGTTGGCAAGGGCTTTGCCCTCTTCCCTAGACTATACTGTCTTCCATGCCTTTCCTGTCCCCTCTAGAGACTGCCTCAGTTTCTTCCTTCTGTAGCCCTGTTCCTAGCAACTGAACCCTGCCTTGGGGCACTGGTGAGTACCCTTCTGTCCCCTATTCCTTAGGCTGGGGGGAACAGGAACGTCAAAGAGGAGCTCTGATGCCAGCAGTCCCTCTGCCTTCAACCTTGGCTCAGCTCTCTCCAGTTTCCCTGTGTAGAAAACCTTTGCTGGGCTCTGCTACCTCCTCTAATTCCCGACCCCTTTTCTCTCCTGGCTTCCCCTGCCAAATTTCTCGAAGGAGTGGTCTACACCCTCTGCCTCCACTTCCTCTCCACCCACTCACTCCTTAACCCCCTGCAATCTGGCTTCCAGGCCGCGGCAACAGTTCTCTCCAGGTCGTCAGGCATCTTCTTCTCGCCAAACCCAGCGGCATTCTCTAAGGCTCTCTCCTTGCTGTTTTGCAGCCGCTCTGCGGAACACTGCTGCCTTCTTGAACTCCTCTCCTTGGCCTCTGCACTCTCCTGGCCAACTCTGCCTCTGCAGCCTGGCCTCCTGGCTCCTCGTGGCTCTTCTTCCTCTCTCCCTGCCCTGTGGTGGCACTCTCCCGAGGTCTGCCCTCTCAGCTGATCAGCACGTCCTTCCTGAGTGGCGCCTGCGTGGTTTTCTCTTTCTACCTCTTTGTAGAAGAGTTCATCACCCCACTGCTTCAGCTGTCACCTCCATGCAGATGACATTCCTGTTGAAGAAACTTAGGGGATGCCCATGAACAGCAAGGACTAGTATGGAGACAGGGCCAGTGTCAGGGAACAGGAGAAATAGACTATGGGGGCAGTGCTCTCCTGCTCTGCTCGCCTCCTTCCCCATCGCCCTCTCCTTTCCACAGCTGAACTACCTGGGGCCCCCCTTCAACGAGCCTGACTTCAACCCACCTCGGCTGGGGGCAGAGACTCTGCCTAGGGCCACTGTCAACTTGGAAGTGTGGCGAAGCCTCAATGACAAATTGCGGTTGACCCAGAACTACGAGGCCTACAGCCACCTCCTGTGTTACTTGCGTGGCCTCAACCGTCAGGCTGCCACAGCAGAGCTGCGCCGCAGCCTGGCCCACTTCTGTACCAGCCTCCAGGGCCTGCTGGGCAGCATTGCAGGCGTCATGGCCTCTCTGGGCTACCCACTGCCCCAGCCTCTGCCGGGGACTGAGCCCACCTGGGCCCCTGGCCCTGCCCACAGCGACTTCCTCCAGAAGATGGACGACTTCTGGCTGCTGAAGGAGCTGCAGACCTGGCTGTGGCGCTCAGCCAAGGACTTCAACCGGCTTAAGAAGAAGATGCAGCCTCCGGCAGCTGCAGTCACCCTGCACCTGGAGGCCCATGGCTTCTGATCTCTGACCCTTACACCTCCTCTTTTCCCCTCTGCCCCTTCAAGCTCTGCTCCCACTCTGGGTAAGAGAAAGCTGTATGCCAACACTTGTTGAGCCAGGAGACAGATGGTGGGATCTCTGGTCCTCCAGGCCTTGGGTGGGGGTGTGGTACGTCCTGTCCTCTGCCCAGCTCCGCGAGTCCTATGGGTCTGGAGAAGAAATGTGTCAGGGGCCATTCTGTTTCCATGGAGGTTGTGTTCAAGGGAGCTGAATGGCTCAAGTGAGGGCAAAGGCTCTCACCACCTATTGCTTGCTGCCATCACCTGCCAGTGCCCTCCAGCCCCTCATTTGAAGGCAGGAGTAGGGGCCACTGTAGCATGTGCCTTTCTGGAGTGAAGCCTCTTGGCTGGTGTCGCTCTCCCACCCCATAACTCCACATTCAGTTCAGGAAACAGGCGACACCTCTAAACAAGAAGAGATGGAATGAAAAATGGAAGGGGTGGGGTCTGCACTGGAGGTGGCCTAAAAACCAGAAGAGGTAATTCCGAAAGCGGGGTAGTCACCCAGGTAATCAGTGGCATAGGGTGGCAAACGAAGCTGCGCTGAACGTCAGGACCTCGCCTCGAGTTTCCCTGCCGGCATCACGTTGCCTCCTCTCTGCCCTTTCCCAGGGTGTCTGTGGTTGCCCAGGCTGGGAGGGCGGCCACGGCCACAGCCACAGGGTTTCCTGAAAGTTTACATTGCAGTAGCATTGCAGGGAATGGGGACAGCTCCCCAGGCCCTGCCCCCCAGCCCTACCCACTCATGACTCTAAGTTTGTGGTATTAATATTTATTTATTTGGAGATGTTATTTATTAGATTATATTTATTGCAGAATTTCTATTCTTGTATTAACAAATAAAATGCTTGCCCCAGAACTCAGTCTTTTTGCTTTCCTGGTCCTCCTGGGGCACCCTGTGGGCTCTCTGGGCCCCACCTACCCTGGCTTCCATTGTCCCCTTTTCCCAGTGGAGGTAAGTGGGGCTTGAGGAGGCGACTTTCCTCCCTCTAGCTCCAGGGCAAAGACACACAACTTGGGTCTGTCTCCTCCTGCTCCCAGCTCTGTGGTGTCTTGGTGCTCCTAGAGAACTGTCACTTGTTGCTTTTTGTCCTTCTGCCTTTGCCCAGTCTGCTTTCCCTCTGGACATGCTTTGTGCATGTCTCCCCTCTGGCCCCTCCTGCACTTGATGAGCACAGCTGTTCATGTGCCCCTCTGGGGTTCTCCCCAGCCACTCTTGGGCATTCAGTCCCCAGGACCCCTGCCAGTGGCTGTCTGATGGGGCCCTCACCTCAACACCCTTTATCTATCTCCTTGAGAGGGTGATGGACTATGGCCAATTCACAACTTTCAGCTGTGACTCTGTTCCTTTCTCATATTGTGGGAAAGAAAACTTCTATTGAACTGAGGGAAAATGGGACAGATGCTATTCAAGGGGTAAACTATGTTAACTCCATTTCACAGCCTCCCAGCTGAATGACTTTAGATAAATAAAAGCTTTCTGTCTCTGGTCTCCATCTATAAAATGGGAATAGTTAAATATTTTATGAGATTGTTAGAAAGGGTAACAAAGAATAAAGGTTGTAGCAGCAGCAATTGTAGAAATTAGATTATGTGAGATATGTCGCTATGCCATGACCCTTTAGTTAAGAGCCACTGGGTAAACTAATGGGTTAATTGCTTCCAGGTAATACACGGATATTTCATAAGGGCCTCCTGGAAACAGTGTGTTAAGCAAGGAAATTGGTAATGTCCATCAGCTGACAAATTTTTAAAGCTCTAATTACCTGCCTTTCACTGTCCTGATAAAAGAAAGCCAAAAGAATTTGAAGACCTAACTTGGCTCCTGCTGTTATAGAACTTGCAATCTACTTGGGAAGGAAAGTTTAGCTTCCTTGAAATAATAAGACACAAAAGCACTCATTCGCAACACAGAGGAGGAGGTTCCCATAAGTGCATGAGTCACCAAAGAAAAGCGAGGTCAGAATGCTGGTGCAGGAGCTACTGGACCTGCTAGTGGGCCAGCCAGCCTCTACTGGATGCCAACTGGTGCATGTGAAACATGTTCTACCTCTACGGGCAATGACACCTGCCTATGCATGGCCAGGGCACTTGCAGGCCCTGTCCCCAGCCTACAAAGACAGAAAGAAGAGGGGATCTGTGCCATTCTGTCCCCATACAGAAAAACCAATGTGCTGCAGCTGCAATGTGCAAAGCAGTAAGTTAGAGACAGATGGAGAGAGAGGTGGGTGTCCCATCCCCAGAGAACTCACATCCTACCATCCTGTGAATTTCATTTTTAAAATTTTCTTTGATACTGGATATTGTACCCAGAGATGCTTTACCACTGAGCTACATCCTCAGTCCTTTTCTTTTTGAGTCAGGGTCTCTCCCTGTTGCTGATGCTGGCCTCAAACTTGTAATGTTCTAGTCTCAGCCTCCCAAGTTGCTGGGATCACAGGCAGGAGCCCCCATACCTGGCTAAATTCTTAATAATTTCATTTCAACTGATTTTAAAGAGTGTTCAGGAGTGTTTTAGAAGTTGAGAGAAGAGTTTGAAGGAGACAGCTGATGAACAGTCTCAGATGCTCCAGGGAAACTGAGAGAAGAATGTAGAGAAAGATCTACTGGCTTTGGCAGTTAGAAGTCACAAGTGACCTGAGAAAGATCAGGTGAGAGGCGGACACCAAATTGTGAGACAAAAAGAATACTACTGTGAGAAGAAAACAGAGTGGGTAAATATATTCCCTCAGAGTTTAGTGGTACAGGGATAAGATTGAGGCAGGGTTGTTTTGTGATGATTGTTTTTAAACAGAAGAAATCTAAACATGTCACTGCTGAGTGAGGAGAAGTGTGGAAAGATCTGGGAGGTGCATCAAAGAAAACCAGAGAAGAATCCAAAGCCTTGCTAGGCACCCATATAGAAGAGCCAGGTGATCTCAGAAGATACCTCTTTGTCATGTGCCCATTCTGCATGAATTATAACATTTCCTACTAAGACAGAGATGGCCCGAGGTGGGAATAGAGTATAAAGGGTTTCCAAGTCTGAGGACTGGCAAGGCAGGGATGGTAGAGAATCAAGGGGCAAGGGACTTTCGCATGCTAAAAACCATACTGTTGAGTGGCTATGAGCCTCTGAGCCACACAGTGCGGGTGGGATGGACAGCAGAGGGAAACAGAAGCAAGGAACAGTCAGTAGATGCATGCCTTGTGGGGAGTGCTAAGTTCACTCATGCCCATGCAGAGCTCCATGGGGACAGGGACGGATGCAGGTGGGTGGGGGTAGAAGGGCACTTCAGAACTGGAGTTCTGGAACTCTTTCCCAAATAGCTCTTAAACATGACGACAGGGGCTATGGGCCCCTCCTTTGGGTTTTGGCACCATGTTCAGTCCCACAGGGCCTCTTGTGAAAATGTCATCATCATGGGACAGAAGCACATGGCAGATGATAGGTTATCAGTGTCTTCTTAGGATGTGACATTGGTTCTCTGTGCTTGGCTGCTTTGGGAGTGCTGATGAGTTTTCTTTGGTTATTCAGGTTCCATTTCCTAAGTAAGGCCTTAGAGTTGAGCCCAGGTTTCCAGAGACCAATATACAAATCCAGACTACTTTGGGCTCTGCAGTGTCATGGGAGTAGGGGAACTATCTCTAGAAGTCCTTATATTCTCAGTAAGGCTAGGGAGAGAAATATAAATGGATTAAAATGCATAAATGGATTAAAAACCTGTCATCTTTTTTGGCAGTATGGGTGGCTGAACTCAGGGGCATTCTATTACTGAGCTAATCCCAAGCCTTTTATATTTTTTACTTATTTTTTATTTTTTCGTACCAGGGATCAAACCCAGGGGCAATTAACCACTGAGCCACATCCCCAGCCCTTTTAATAGTTTACTTTAAGACAAGGTCTTGCTAAGTTGCTTAGGGTCTCACTAAGTTGCTGAAGCTGGCTTTGAACTTGTCCTCTGGAGCTGCTAGGATTACAGGCATGCGCCACAGCACCCAGCCTATCTATCTATCTATCTATCTATCTATCTATCTATCTATATATATATATATATATTTTTTTTTTTGTCTTGAGACAGAAACTTGATGATGCTAAGGCTGGCCTTGAACTTGGCAATCCTCTTGCCTCAGCTTCCAGAGTGGCTGGGATCATAAGTGTGCACCACTGCACCAGGCTCATTGTCATCTTCAGTGCTTGGAAATGTGCTTGTGTTCTGAGAAAATAAGCACAAGAGAGGGAACTGTCACTTGGGACAGAAGGCAACTTACAGGAGGGTAGGAGTGGGTACAGAGGAGGCTTTGATGAGAGGTGGCAAATCATGAGACCCTGCCAGCTTCCTGCTTTTACAGGTTGACCCAACATCGAGGACTTAGGGCCCCCTCTCTAAGCAAGGGGCTCATTCAATAACCCATCTTACACACACTCAACACATAGTGTGTAGACAGAGGCTCTCGGTCTCCTTTAGCCTAGAGTGCAAGGAGAAGTGACTCAAGCCTGGTTGGGTGCCCTATTCTTTCAGCACCCCCTTCTCCTCTGGAACCACAAAATGTCCCTTAAATTCTTAGGCTCCCTGACTCATCTGGTACCTGGATTTCCAGGCAGGGGACAAAGCCCTTGTCCATGGGGTGGTAGAAGGGGCAATGAGAAATTAACTGTGAGCAAGATTTTGAGCCACAGTTCCAGTCCTCAGCCTAGCTAGTTCAGAGGTCACTTCCAGGTTCCTCCCCAACTTGCCCCAACCTCCAAGTCTTGTCTGATTGGGGGGGGGGGCAGGGATTGGACCCATTAATTAGGACCATCTTCCCAGCTAGACAAAGTCTGACACCTGGTGGCCAAGGTGAGAAATAGCCAGAGGGGCCCCTTTTCAAATCTCCCCAGAATTTCTCCAGAGCTAGGATGACCAAAGTGAAAGGGGGAAATGACCAGAAGAGATGTGGAGGGTGGGGTGAGGCAGAAGAGACATCAGAGACCCACATGAGCATTTTCCTTCCCCAAGATCTGCCCCTTAAACCCACTAAGTCCCAGGACCTGGACCAGGGAGATGAGGGGTGTTTGGGAGGATGGTGAGGGACTAGAAGGAGCTCCTGAAACAATTTGGCCCACAGGGTAAGGAATGGGGCCAGGATATGATTTTGGGTGTTCCTCTGTCTGCCCAGAATCTCCTAAGCTGGCATGATTTCCACTTCAGGGCCTGAGGAAGGGGAGTGCTGGGGAGAAGGGAAAACTGATCAATACTCCACACCGCACTGAGCTCCAGGCAGCTACTCTCCTCCCTCCACCCCCAT